GTGCACGGGACCCATGTGCCGCTACGCCGAGGACCTGGAGCCTGTGCTGAGGGTCATGGCCGGGCCCGGGGTCAGCAAGTGAGTTGCTCCCGCTGCTCCCGGCTGCTGAGCTGGAGTCAGCAGGTCTCTGGTCTGCACAGAGGGTCAGTCCTTTGTGCGAGACAGATCTGCACCCCGCCCAGTTGGTTTGTTACTGGTTTCCTTCCTCTGCCCCTGGCTTCAACGGGACCTTCGCAGCTGGGAGTGTCCTTCCCACCACCCACGTGCTCTGGGGAACAGGCAGCCATGGGCAGACTGTTGGTTCCCTCTTTACTTGCAAGCTACTTCCCAGTGCTGTCCCACATGGCCCTCCCTTCCCGAGGGTTGGCCTTGCTCCTGGCTGTTACAGGGCCTTTTTCCTGTTGCTGAATGATGAGTTTTCCATCCCACACCACAGCCAGTTTGGTTCCTGCGTAGGTCTGTGTAACCAAGAGCCTGCTATGTGCAGGTGCCCGTGAGGAGCAGAGCAGAGATGGGGCAGACAGGGCAGCCCTCCTTTGTGCCACAGCCTGCGAGCGGCTGTTCTCGCCGTTACCACTTCTGTTTTTTCCCAGCTCTTGTGCAATCCCAACCTTGACCATGGACAGGGTTTGTAATCACAAGGTTCTTAAGGAGAGTTAAGGATTTTCCCAACAGGAACTTGCTGGGACTGACAAGGCCGGAGAGCAGCTGGGTAGACTGTGGGTGGCAGGTGTCTGTGTGTCCTCAGGGTCTGACCTTGCCACCCTGGGAGGCAGAGAATCGTCTCCTGAGGACACGATTAATGTGTGTGTGAGCAGTTCTGGCAGCTGGGGAGGAGCCCGGGATGGGTTTGTGACAAAGCCCCTTTCCCAGGCTGAAACTGAATGAGAAAGTGTCACTGGAGAAAATCAAATTCCACTGCATGGATCATGACGGCGGGTCCGTTTTTGTGTCACCTGTGGACAAGGAGATCTTGCAGGCCCAAAAGAAGGTAGGAAGGAGCAGAGGTTGGTTCTCACTGGGGTGAGCCTGAAGATAGAACCTGGGGACACCAGTCAGAGGAGCCCTGGGGAGGAGAGGGAGCTGCTCTGTGTGTGGCTGCTGTGGGGGCTGGCAGGATGGAGGGCTGGGGAGGCAGCTTTCTGTTCCAGTCCTGTGCTTCCTGGGGTTAAAAAGTGGAAAAAACTTTTTCTTCTGTGCTAAAGAAGAAACAAGGAGAAGATCTTGTGAGCAGATGCCCTTGCCCTCTTCTCTGTACTTTCCATGGGCTGATGGCAGCGCTTCAGAACCTTATGGAAATAAACCCTTCCTGCTCTTCCCTTCAGGTGGTGGAGCACATCGAAAGTGACCTGGGGGTCCAAGTTCAGCATGTGTCAATCCACAAGATGAAGTATTCCTTCCAGATCTGGTCAGCCATGATGTCATCTAAGGACAGCAATGGGCAGGTGCGTCAGACCGAGCTGGCAAAGGCACAAATTCGGTGGCAGCAGGGAAGAATCAGCTGCCTGGGGCCAGCCGTGCAGAGCTGTAGGTTTCCCAGACCTGCCTGGGGGCTTTCCCTGCTCCATTTGTCCCCCCAGTCCTCCCTTCATCTCTTCCCAAAGACGCACAGCCCCTTCTATCTTGCTCTCCTGTGGGATGAGGCCGTGGCTCCCAGCAGAGGAGCAACGTGGTATAGGGAGGGAAAGGTCGTTTTGGCACATTGACCTTCATGCAGGTTGGTAAGTCAGCCAAGCAGGGAGCATCCTGCCTCACTCTTGGCTCTGTGCTGCGTCTTCTGACGTTGCTGGCTGGGATTAACACTCTTTAGGATGCCAGGACAAGCAGGGCATTAGCAGCTTTCCAGTACCAGGCTTGCCTGTGTTATTTTTCCCTTGAATTGCAGCCACTGTGCTGTGCTCTGTGCATGCAGGGAAGTATTTTACAGAAAAAAAAACCCTCTCAGGAGTGTCCTACCTTGTGCATTCCTGGTACATGGGGAGTGGTGGGAAACAACACAGCCCCATGCACTAAGGAGGGCACGTCTGGCTCCTCTGCTTCCTTCCTGGTCCCATGGCCATACCATATCACAGGAGTAAATGCCTCCAGGACCTTATCCAGAGCATCATCCCTTGCATCATGTCAGTTGGGTGCTGGAAGGTGCTGCTCTGGGGGCTCTCCCTCCTCCTTCTTGCTGTCTCTGGCAGGCAGAGGTGCTCCTGCTGCCACCCTGGATCAGTGCTAGAGCTGCGGAGCACTCCTGAAGGGCATCTCCTGTGTGAAGATGGGAAGGGCTCACATCAGGATAATGGGACAGCTGGAATTTCACTGTCCCTTTCAGCCTGTGCCTCCCTGCTGCGTGCTGGCAGTGCTGATGGGGGGAGTGTGTGTGTTACAGGAGGCAGAGCGATTCACAGACCTGCTGGGGGACCACGGAAAGCCGGTGTGGCCGCTGTGGGAGCTGCTGAAGTGGCTCGTGGGGATGTCTTCTCACACCTTCCCAGCTATTGGTGAGGCTGGGGGGAGCCTTGGGAAGTGCAGAGGCAGCGGTGGGGCGAATGAGTTGTTAAATACAGGTAGTCCCAGTGACCAGCTAAGGGACTTGGGGTTTGTGCTGAGCAGCTTCAGCCTGGTTTTGTAATGACATTCAGTGTCTTTGAGTCACACACAAGCCCGAGGGAGAGTTGGCTGGATCTTTGATGAATGGGAGTGGGTATCCTGGGAGAGGAAGTGAGGATGATGAGCTCCTGCTGTGAGCCCTGTCAGAACTGCTGGGGACTCTAGAGGGAGCCGGTCAGGGTCTGCATTGATCTGGTTTCATAGCAGCAGGAACCAGAGAACCCTAATCAGTGCAGTTGGGCTGCTGTCTAATGAGTGCTGAGGTGGCTCTGCCAGCTCTGCTCAACCCCAGCAGCTGGAAAAGCTGGAAGTGAGGAGCAGGCTGAAAGCTTTTCCCTTGGCAGAGTGGGGAGGATGCTGCCCACAGAGCCATGCCAGGGTCAATCTGCTGTGGGTACTGGTGGGCAGGGGGACTTGGGGGGTGCACTGGGACTGGGGGATGCTGCGTGTGACCAGGCAATGTGCTTTCTGCCCCACGTAGCCCACAGTCCTCTCACTCTATGTCCCTGTTTGTACCCTTTCCCTGCAGCCCTGGGGCTGACAGAGAAGCTGATGAAGCTCAACCACAGTGGGAACGCCAAGCTGGTGAGCATGGGGAAGAGCCTGCAGGAGGAGATGGAGGCACTGCTGGGGCAGGACGGGGTGCTCCTCTACCCCTCACACCCCACCATCGCCCCCAAGCACCACTCCCCCATATGCATGCCCTTCAACTTTGCCTACACAGGTGAGCAGCTCTGGCTCTTGAGGGGTGCAGGTAGAGCTGTCCAGGCTGGCAGCCAGGGTGTTGTACCCATTCCTGATGGTGGGCTCTAGGGGTCTGGCTGCTCCACAACAAGGGTTGTCACGCTTTGTGCCACGTGGCATCTTTCACCTGCTGTCCACAGCGGGGCAGGGCTGAGTGATGTGTCTGATCTCAGGGGCCACTTTGCCCCAGAGGTGTTCCAGCTGCTGCTGTGGTTTAGCAGGAACCTGAGAGCCAGCATATCTTGGGGTACAGTCTGGGGCTCCCTGCATGGCTTCCCTGCAACCCAAGCACCTTGGTGCTAGTGCTGGTGTCAGCGCTGCCTGGCTTTGGAGCGATGGAGGGGTGGTGTCCCAAACCAGATCTTGGCATGCCGTCCATCGTAGGTGCTATTTGCAGATACGATGTGGACACTGGGAACCTCTGGCCAGTGATATCCGCTTGTCACCACGTCCCTGCTCCACTGTGTCAGGCACCAGCTCCCAGCACCACCTGCCTGGGGTGTATCCTGGTGATGTATCCCGGTCCCTGTGCTTGCTCTGATCCATCCTTCTCTCTTCCAGCCATCTTCAACGTCCTGGGCCTGCCGGTGACGCAGTGCCCGCTGGGGCTGGGCAGTGAGGGGCTTCCTCTGGGCATCCAGCTGGTGGCAGCCGCCTACAATGACCACCTGACGCTGGCCGTGGCCCAGTACCTGGAGAAGGCCTTCGGAGGATGGGTTTTACCAGGGAAAGCTTAGCCTTGGGAGGCAAGGACAGAGAGGGTGGTGCCCAGCGAGGCGGTGGCAGGTGCTGATGTTCCCTTCGCATCCCCCTGCCCTCCCGGGAGCAGCTGGCAGTGCCTCTGGCCGTGGGGCAGCCGGGCTGTTGCTGCTGGAGTCTTCATCCCTGCAGCACCCTCTGTCAGGGAGAGATCTCCTGCCCTCCCCGAGCCCCTCGGGAGCCCCAGTGCTGCAGGCTGAGGATGTCCTGCCTGCAGTGGGCATCCACCTTTTCCTGGCCGTGGAGATGGCCAGTGCTCTAACCCTTGCTGCTTTGAAGATGCTGAGTGTGATCTCAGCACAGGAGATACTGCCAGACTGCTGGGGGGGCAGCCACCCAGCCTCTTTTGGGGGCCCCTGGGCACATGAGGGTCCTCCTTGGCCTGACTCTGCCCACAAGACTGGACTGTGCCTGCTGCACCCAGGCTTGGCAGCCCCCACAGCACCCCCCCAATCTGCTGCAGGTTCCTCCTCCCCTCTGACCGAAAAGGGAGAGGGGCTGAGGGGGCTGGGCTGAGCCGTATGCCCTTCTCACCAGCAGTACTTTGTGGTGTGGGGGGTGCTGGGCTCTGCCATATGTGCAGCTCTGGAAGGAGCTGTTGCTCTGAGAGCATTTGTAGCACTGGATAAAGTATCTCCTGCCTGTTTCTTCCCTGCCACCTGCCCTGCCAAGCTGCCTGGCCTCTGCCCCAGGAGTGGACACGGGCAGGGATGTGGGGAGCTGTCTGGGTGGACAACAAGCACAAGGTGTTCTCAATGAGTGTGGTATTAAAGAGCCTGTACAGTCTGCTGTGGCCATGTGTCCTTGTTCCTGATGGCTGTCACCCTTCCAGCTCCCAGTGGGCACTGGCCCCCTCTCTGCTCAGGATGTTTGGGGTCTGCCCAGTGCTGCTGGCTGTTGCAGCAGTGCAGGGACAGCAGTGGAGGCACTGGCATCAGCCCTAGGGGTGACTCTCAGACGCTGTGGGCCTCTTGTTTTGGAATGCTCCTAGCTGATGGTGACTGCTCTGCCCTGGCGGTGCTGAAGAGTGTCAGCAAGCTCCACATGCTGCCATCCATGGCTCTGTTAGTCCTGTAATGGTTGCAACAGCTCTTGGGAAGCTCGAGTCAGGCTGCTTTCTGTCCCAATGGGCTGCAGAAGGCCTGGGGTTCGTGGGGTGATGCACAACCACATGCAGGTCCCTTGGGGTCTCTAGGGCAGAGCTGCAGTCTCAGCCCTGCGTGTCCAGCCTGCAGCACTAGTCTTGGCAAGGATAAAACTTGGTGTTGGCTTTGCAGGGTCGTCCTGGCCTGTGTCTGCCCTGCTATATGTCACCTCTGGCCCAACCCCAATGATCCTCTCTGTCCCCAGGCCACTGATGGTCCCTGCAGGGGGGTGCAGGGTGCTGGGAGGGGGTGCAGGCAGCATACAGCAGGGTGCTGGCATTGGCTTTGTCTTGGCTTTGGCATGCAGAGGGCACTGCTGAGCGCCCATGGCCCGCAGGGACGCTGCCAACAAGGAAGGAAGGAAGGGAAAAAAAACAACCCAGTCTCAGGAAAAAGCGCACAATCCACCAAAGCCAAATCACATGTTGTTGGACGCCTCCCAGCGCAGGAGCACAGAGGGCTCAGACCTGTCCCCAGTCTGGAGGGAGCCTGGCAGCTGAGCAGACCCTGATGACGCTTCCAGTGAACGCTCAGAGCCGGATGTGGGGCTGCTGAGCTGAGGGTGTTGCGTTTTGCAGAGCGTGGTGGGCACAGGTGGGTTCCTGATACAGCAGGGACCAGCGAGGAACTGCGTGGGTCAAGGTAGGGGGGAGCACTGGTGCCTCAGTGGGATGACAACAGGGATGCAGGCAAAGGAGGGGATGTTGTGGAGAGGGGGTTAAATCCCCACAGTCTCAGCCAACGGGATATCCACTAAGCCATACTTTTACGGTTGCTACAACACGGGGAGGGTTGCTGGGCAGGGCAGAAGGAGAGTGGGTGAGCTGGGGTCAGTATGGGGCTGGCAGGACACCCTCACTGCTGTGGAAGCACTGGCTCCCCTGTGCTGCCTCCAGCAGCTGGAGAAGCCCTGTCCCTGCCTGTGCAGGCAGCCGGTCCATCAGTTCCCCAGTTCTGTGTCCACACAGGTCCCAGGAACGGTCCTGGGGACTCCTTCTCTGTCCAGGCAGAAACGGTGCTGACTTCAGTGGGGTCTTCTGCTGGGTGGGGTCTTCTAAGCTGGGAGGGCTCTTGCTGGCCTCGGGGTGGGGGGAATCCCAAAACTCACTGCCCGTGCTTCAGCTCTGGAGTTTCAGAGGTCTTGCCTCTGAGCCCTCGCCCGCGGTTTGCAGCTGCACGTCCCTGCTTGTTGGCTGCTCCTCCTTGTTTCAAGCTCTGAACGTTGCAAGGGACAGAAAACAAGGAAAGCATTTTGTACTTGCCTGCTGAGGTGGCTGCACTCGTAACACTAGTGCAGATTCGGTGTGAAATGGGGAGAGCGAGAGCAGCAGCTGCAGTGACCCAGCCCTGCGGGTGTCCTGTCTGGCCAGGGAATGCTCCCACCCCTCTGCCTCTGGAGGTGGCCCTGGGCTTCCCACCGTCACAGGGGGATGTGTCCCCACAACCAGTATGTTGGCACTGGTGGCCTCAAAGCTCTTGCACATTCCCCCAGGAGAGGGGTCAACAACAATAGGGAAAGATTCCTGGTAGCTGAGTGGTGGGGCAAGGCCAAGGTAAGGAGGGGCTGGCCAGGTGTCAGGCAGAGGTGCCCAGTGGGACGAGCCTCTGCTGTGGTTCACAGGGCTGAGGTCTCTGCTAACAGCCCCAGGGGGTCCCTCGGGGTGCCCCATTGCACCTGGCTGGGTGCCGGCACACTCGGGGCTCTCCCCATACCACGGAGGGCTGGGGGAGGGCTGAGGGAGTCCTGACAGTGGTGTCACCGGTTGTGCCAGTGTGAGTCATGCCCAGAGGTGGGCTGAGTCACCTCCACAGTGGTGTGAGCATCGGGTGAGGAGGTTTCACAGACCCACATCCCCGTGACGTCGGCAGCGTGGTTTCTCACCGCACGGAGCCAGAGGTGGGTGCAGCAGAAGGTCCCCACAGCATGTGCACAGGGCCATGGCAGAGCATGGCAGCTGCCCACAGTCCCTGCAGCTCCACTTGCCACCAGAGCCCCGAGGGCACCTGCCCTGCTGCTGCTTCACCCATCCCAGGGGGTCGCAGGGGGTTCCCTGCCTCTCCCTAGCGGGCACCTCTGTGCCACGCTGGGCATGCAGACTCCATGGGAAAGGCTTACCTGAGGATGGTGTCGCTGGCTGAAGCTTTTGGAAAAAAATATCCTTTCTCTAATCCCAGGTCCCAGCTGCCCATCATGTCTGCAGGTGGCAGAACAGCTCCAGCACACCCATCCCTCACCACAGCCCCCGGTGCAGCGGCATAGCGTGGGGACAGATGGACGGGCCGTGGCGGGATGAGCCCTGCCCTGCACATCCTGCTGTCCCTGGCCAACTGCTCCCTCCTCTGCGGTAAGCTGGTGCTGGAGCTGCTGCTGCAGGCTGGGGGGACCCTGGCTGCAGAGCAGGGGAGGCACAGGGACACCTCTTAGACCTACAGAAGGTACCTGTGGAGAGGAGGGGACCGAGTGGTCTTCAAGGTGTGAGAGGAAAGAAAACCCCAGGGTCAGCAGCAGCTGTGTCAGGGTGTTGGTGCTTTGGCAGGAGCATGGAGAGGGTTCCCTTGGTGTGCAAGGCACTGGGGGGATGCAGGTGCTGAGCATCCTGCTGCAGAGCCAGTGTTTGCCCACTGTTGCTGGGCTGAAGCTGGGGATTGCGGGAGGGGGAACCTGTGCAGCATAACCACGCAGTGACCAGCCAAGGAGGGGACCCTGCAGAGCAGAGCAGCGCTGCCTGACACACCTCTGCCCCCGTCCCAGGGATGCTACTGCGGCCACGGCGCGTGAGGCTGGAGGCACAGAACTTCCACGTCTGGCTGCGGTGGGAGCCGGACCCCAGCTCGCCCAGCCACACCACCTATCAGGTGGAGTGGAGGAAGCGGTAGGTGGGGAGGGGGGGGCGAAGAGTCTGGTCCCCCAGCACCGTGCCAGAGGCTGTTGGGGACCCTTGATAGCCGGAGGATTGCTGTCTGGCAGTAAATAACACAGAGGAACAGAGCAGTGGAGTTGGCAGCGACCGGCTCGTCCCACCCCTGCACAGGCAAGGTCAGCTCAGGGCCATGTCCTGTTGGGTTTTGAACACCTTCAGGGATGGAGCCTCCACACCTCTCTGGGCAGCTTGGTCCCTTTGCTGGTCACTCTCCTAGCAAAAAACAAAGGGGTGGCTTTGGGGCTGGGGTTGTGGGTTTGTTGTTTTGGTTTTTTTTTTTCCGTTATGCTGAATGGGATTTCCTGTATTTCAACCTGTGCCTGCTGCTTCTCATCCTTTTGCTGGGCATGCTTCATCTTCTTTTCTCCACTGTTGTTGATAAGACCTCCCACCCAAAGCCACCTTTCTCTGAGGCTCAGCAGTCACTGCTCACTTGGCCTCCCTCGTAGCACAGAGCCTCAATCCCTCGGTGGGCTCTCCCTGCCCACGATGTTCCTCATGGCAGAGAGCACAGGTCAGGGTATAGTGCCAGGTGCCATCTGTCCCCAGGAGGGACTCAACTTGCTGGTGACCCCCTCCTCACATATCCCAGGACACTGCTGGCCGACCCCTGGGCTTTCCCACGCTCTCTGCCTTGGCAGGATGGCGGTGGCTGGGCAGCCCTCCCTTTTGGGCTGCGGAGGTGCCAAAAAGGAGCAATCCCTGTGCTTTCTCCCTGGGCAGGACCTCGAGCTGGATCAAGGCAGATACCTGCAGGGGGAACAGCACTGGCTCCTGGGAGTGTGAGCTGTATTTTGACAGGATCCACGATATGTACTGGGCGCGGGTGCGAGCGGTGGCCGGAGGCGAGCAGTCTGAGTGGGCCAGTTCCAGCGAGCTGCAGCTGTACAGAGACAGTAAGGACAGGGGAGCTCCTCCAGCTGGGCTCTTCCTGGGAGGGGAAAAATGGGGAGAGGGATCCTTGAAGAGATCTGGTGGGATACAGTGAGAAATCATATGAGGATACTGGTGGGAAAAGCGCTAAGAACTCTGACTGGAGGAAAGGGATGGGGCAGAGCTGCTGGAGGAGGACTGGGTGAAGAGCAAGGGGACAGAGGAGGCACACTGAGGTGAGGATGATGGATGGGAGGCCTGAGGCCAACAAGACAATATGAGAATTTTGGTTTCTGGAGAATGCAGTGAACTGGGGAAAAGAGGGTGCGCTTTCAGGCTTGGCTTTTGAAAGGTGCTTTTGCTCCAGCAAGATGAAGCTGGTGCAGGAGGGGCAGGCAGGGGCAGTCCCTCTGGTGATGCCTTCACCCTGGCTGCCACGTTTGCCAGGTGCAGGAATATGCCTGTTCTCAGTCACAGACTGTCCTGTCCAGAAAGCCAGGAGGTTTCTTGGAGGCAGGAGAGACTCAGGATCACCAACACCACTCACAGGGGGTTGTCACGTGAACCAAACGTGCGAGCAGCTAAATGGGGTCTATATCGGCTGTTTGGGTTCCCTTGTTCATTCCCTCTGCATCCAACTGGCATGGAAATGGGTGTGGTCACCTAGAATGTGATTGTTGCCTTCAGCAGAGGGTCTCCAGGTCCTGGGGGATGGCTCAGGGGTGAAGGGCTTGGCACTGGGAGCCGGTGGTGCCACAGGTCTGTCGGTGTGAGGAGGAAGCAGAAGCAGTGCTGGCTGTCATGCAGATGTGGTGGCTGCCCTTCCTAAAGCTGGTTTCATGGCACAAAGTGCCATCAGGCGAGACCCAAGGAGCTTCTGTGCACTGGGAGGGGGATGTCAGATAGAAAAATATCATTTCTAGAGAAACAAGATGCCTGCCTTCTTTTGAAGGGCTGAATTTTCTTCTGTGTGGTTTGTTTTTTTTTTGTCTCCCCTTTCTCCCTACAGCAATTGTGGGGCCCCCCAAGTTGTCCTGGCTGCTCCAGGACCAAATCCTCAGCGTAAACATCGTCATGCCGCTCACTCCCTACAAGAGAAGAACTGGTTCCTACAAGCCAGTGGACCGAGTGCTGCTTAAACTATGGTACTGGCTGCACCTGTACGAGGGGGACCTGCTCGTCCAGCAGGTGCGTGGCAGCTGGGCAGGGCTCGGAGCGTGCCGGGCTTGCACGAGATTTCCTGGTGCAGCAAAGCTGCCGTCTCGGGTTGCCTTGGTGGGGGGTGCCTGTGCCCCAGCCCTGCCCACACCCGGCTGAGCACGCAGGTGTGAGGTGCTCTGCTCCCCCGGGCTGGGGCTCGCACCTCAGCAAGGCAGGAGATCCCTTTGCTCCCTCAGACTTGCATGGGTAAGAAGAACCTGTGGTGGGTTCTGTTCAGATGAAAGGTGATGCCACAGCGGTTCCAGAAGGCGCTCTGGGACCTGAACACCTTCTGGGGCGAAGAACCAAGCGCTGGATGTGCCAGGGACCAGGGACTGTGGGGCAAGTGGGACGCTGAGGCTGCGCTGGGCAGTGGAGCCATGCACAGCCACTGTGGTCACCTGTCCCATCGACTTCCAGGTGCCCTGCAAATGGAGCAGCGAGGACGTGCCGTGCACCTTCGGGCACCTGAAGCCCAGGACGTGGTACTGTGTCCGGACGGCAGCCGCTGGCATGGCCAGGGAGAGGAGCCGGGAGGCGGAGCAGTGCCTGGTGACTCCGGCAGGCCCTGCAGGTGGGAGGAGCACTCTCGCCAGCTCAGCAGGCACGGTTCTATCTCGGGACCTGCGGACTCTCATGTGGGTCCCTCACCCCCAGCCATTGTGATCAGGGTTGTGACCCAGCACTGCCCTGTGGGGACCTCTCGAGGCGATGCTTTCTCACCCTCTGTCTTGGGCTTGCCTCCTGCAACATCCCAGACTGCCATGCAGGCTCCAGGGGAAACACGGGCACAGGGTGGGCTGGGAGGGATGTGCTGGAGTCCTTCCACTCATCAGTTTGCTGTGACCTCCCAGCAGGCTTTCCCTGGATCCTTGCTGTGCTGAGTGCATTCTTTGTGCTGCTGCTGCTGAGTGTGGCCGGGATCTGCTTTGTCCAGCTGCACGTATTCCTTAAACCCTCCAAGAAGCACCTCCCAAAAACACTGGTGAGTGACGATCCTCCTCCAGCCTCCGCCCCATGTGTGCCAGCTGAACTGGGATGCCCTCTGTTTGCAGGGGCTCAGCACCTGCTTCCCTCCACCTCTCACCCCACCAAGCCCATCTTGGTAGCCAGGTGCCTCCTCTGCTGTCCAAACCACTGTACCCCAAAGGGAAGGTGCTGGTGGAGGGCATCAGCCAGCCGTGGGTCACAGTGGAGGACAGGTCTTGGGCAGCACGGCCCTCAGTGTTCAGCACAGTTTGTCGCCCTCACACTGGCAGGGGTTTCGGCTGGCTGAGACTGACCACGTCACCGCTTGTGTCCCTGCAGGCTCTCCTGAACAACGAGCTGAGCGTGGCCATCCGGGTGCCTCCCCTCGAGCTTGAGGAGGAGCCGCTGGCCCTGCTCCTGCAGACTGTGCTCTCCTCACGTGGGCCACCTGCAGCTGGACAGGCATCGCCCACGGTCCCACTGTTCCTCCCAGGCCTCGCGCAGGACGTGACCGGCTACTGTGCCAATGGGTTTGGCCCGGACTGCCCCAGGGGAAGGGACCCATCCTGCACCGACAGCCTGCTGGGACATGCCTTAGGCTCCCAGGTCCCATCACAGCTGGAAAAGGATGAGGAGGCAGGTGATGGGGATGATGTGCTGGAGCAGCTGGTGCCAGTGGGACTGATCGGAAACAGCTACGTAGGAGGTGACAGGGACAGCCTAACACCTGAGACATGGCATACCCTGCACCTCCAGCTTTATTCTAAATGCCAGTGCCCAGCCCCGGGAGCAGGCAGCCACCTTCCTCTGCCCATGCCAGGCAGGAGCTGCAGTCAGGAGGACCTGCGGGACAGCCTCAGCACAGCCAGGCACTGGGTCCCACTCAGCTCCGTGAAGCTGCCAGACAGTGAGGAGGAGGAGGGAGGGCAGCTCCTCTGTGCTCTCCGGCCTCTACCTGGCCTCAGGGCTGAGCCAGGTGACAGCACAATGCAGCGAGGCCACTCGGAGCAGGCAGCACTGGGCACCCCCAGCCCCTGCCAGCCACCGCCTTCGCCCTGCACCGTCCTGCGGGCAGCTGCCTTCTCCGGCTATGAGCCACGTGCCCCACCCGGGCCAGCGTGAGTGGGGGCGCCCTGGGAATCTCCGGGAGCCCCCAGCTCCCAGCACAGCCCATGGTACTGCCCGGAGCCCCCTGGCCATGGTGGCTGCCTGCCCCAACCTGCTGGTGCCAGGCTGGGGACGGGGCTGGGGCAGGTGCCTGCGGGCAGGCACAGGCGTGCTCCAGGCTCGGCTGCCACGAATGGGCTGGATCCACATCTCTAGGGCTTCCCTTCTGGGATTTTGGTGCTATGGAGCCAAAGCATAAGGAGAACGGACCAAAGTTCCACCCCCAAAACTCTTACCTATTTATCCATTTGGTATGTGTGTATATGTGGTACAGTATCTATATTAATGCAAATTTATGTAACACTCATATATGAACCTCTTTAATGAAAGAGGAGATTGGGTTTTTTTACTTCTCTGGAAATAGTGACTGTGTGCTGGAGTTGTTTTTAAATATCACTCATTTATTACAGAAAACTGGCTTCTGTGCTCACTGTTTCTGTGTCACAGACCCAGCACGGCCGTGTCTGAACAGCAGTTGGGAAAGGCACTGGGAAAACTGGGGGAAGGTCAGCAAACCCTTTCTGTCTTGACACCTTTCGTTTGAGACTGGTGACTAAAACGTTTCCAGTTCTGGAGCTGCACTTTGGGTTGTTGTTTTCTGTGTACACACGGCCATCTAGTGGAACCGTGGAACGGTGGCGCTGGGGAACGTCCACTAGATAGCGGTGTGCACTTGAAAAAGACGTAAATGTGTCATGGCTCTCTCCAGACTCACCGAAAGTGAAGATCCAAAGTTGAAAACGTCCTCAGTTCAGTTTTGGGAGATGGACTTGCAATTTCGGCGCTGGGCTCCTGCAAGCAAACAACAGCCCTTTCCCCCAGGAAGGAAAGCCCAGAGCCTCGGTGTCTCAGGTGCAGGTGATGGGCTGCCCAGGGCACTCCACGGGCAGCAAGACCTTTGTGTTCTGAACCCTTTTGTCTGGGACTAATCTTCGGCTGTATTCAATTTTGGGAGAGGGGAAACCTCCTTGTGCTGTGCCACAGGCTGGCATCAGTGGAGTTCACCTCTGCTGACAAATCCAGGCTCCTGGACTGATGAGATTTACTCTGGATCTGGGAACAGGTGAGAAACTGGTGCCCACATCCACTGTGTTGGAGGTGCTGGGCTCGCATGGGGCACAGCCAGTGCTCTGATCACAGCTGGCCAGGCCTCTGCAGGTCAGAAGAGAAACAGCTTCTCTCCTGAGTCTGGGCAATGGTGCTGGGATCCCCAGAGGTGATTCAGGCAGTTACTCATTGGCAGCAGAGGCTCGTCCTGGCCCAGGGGTGGCTGAAGCAGCTGGGATGTCCCCACTCATATGAAAAAGCTGTTCATGCAGAGTGGAAAAGGGCAGAAGGCTCGTGACATTTCCAGATGGCATTTAGCATCTGAAGTTTCCAAGTGGATGCAAGAGGGGTTTTTCTGCTTCGCCTCAGAGGTGTAAGCAGCGTGTGGGACTCTGCAGAGCCACGGAGAGAAAAGGTGTGACACTTGCTGGCATTGAGGTCCCAGCACATCCCAACAGAGACCGTGTGCAGCCAGGGGTGTGGGTGCAGTGTCTGGATGAGACCCTGCTTTGGTCTACCTGGCCAGGTATTTTGTGCTGAGCAGGATGGAGCTGGGTCAGGTGTAAGCCCCCAGCCCCAGGCAAGCCCCCAGCCCCAGGCAGGCCTGGCCAGTCCCTCCATCACCACTGCAGCCTCAGGCATGTGCACACACCCGGCTCCTGCCTCAGCATCCCACGCTGCCTCCACAGCCTGGAGAGGGGTGAGCCAGTGACTGGGCCTCGGGCACCCACCCCACAGCACCATCACCTCGGAGGTCAGATGCCATCTCTGGTGCTGGCCTCGGGCCCGAGGCACAGGGCTGTGCCCGCAGGTACTGGTGCGGGGGCTGGTGAAAGCTCTGACTCACCACGATCAATCGGCTGTTCCTGCCTTCTCTCCGTGGTGTTTTCAGCTTCTGCCGGTGCCAGATCAAAGCAACGAGAGGGATGCAGCTGCAAACAGCTCTTTATTAAAAACAGCAGGTTTAGGACTGTGCAAGAGGGTATTTCTTATTACTAATTCTCGGAGAGAGGAGCTGCCAGCCTATGAAAATGCTGGAGAGTGGAAAATTGCTGTGTGGGGGCTAATGGGGCTTTCACAGCCGCTGCATGGGAACCATTGTGCCTGACAAACATGGGGGACGTGGTGGCCCCTGAAACAACAGGGGAAAATCAAGCTCCAATGTTTTGCAGGCTGGCAGTACCAAGGAACACCCCCATTTCCCTTTGAAAGCCACAGGAGGCAGAGCTACAGAGAGCAGGGCCCTGTGCCCACCCTGCTCTGCCTGCTCTCCCTCCTACCTGTCACTGCAGCTGCCCTGCCACCGCTCTGGGACAGCCCAGAGCTACCCCAAATCCTCATAGCCACCTCAAGCACTGTCCAGCACGTGTCTGTGTATCTGGCAGGGACCTAGGACCTCACTGAGTGAGGCCCTGTCACCCAGCCTCCCTGTGCAAGTTGCCTTTGTGATGACTCTGTAGCTCCAGATGGGTTCCCGAAGTGGGACAGAGGAGCAGCGTTAGAGCTGTCGTGCTGGACCCCACTTCTTCAGCCAAAACAGGCTTTGTGGTTTGACAGGTCCAAGCTGCGATGTCCAGGCTCCTGCTGCACCTCCCTCTCAGTGGTCTGAGCTGCTTGGCCTGGCTGGGAAGTCAACTGGGATGTGGTTGGGGACTGTGGGAGCCCCAAAATGTGGAACCTGATTGTGGTGTGTTTGGAGAATGTGCCTGGAGAGGGAACAGGCTGCAGAGACGAGAACTCACTGGCTCAGACCTGTGCAGTTTCTCTCCAGGCAGGAGCTTTCCTGCAGCTCAGCAGGTCAGGACCCAAGTGGGGCAATGGGGATGCCCAGGTCACCCCAGGGCACTGCAGAGCAAAACTGGTCCTACTTTGTGTGCTGGTCTGGGAGTGCCCTCGCCTGGGGATGCGTGGCAAGTGTCTGCCCTCAGGAGGTGCCACGGGCACCCTGCTGAAGCTGAGCTGAGGGAGTCAGTTGTCTCCTAGCTCTGTCAACAGGTCCTCTTGCTCTGCAGGACGACCTCCCCTGCGCTGGACAGAGGAGCCTGATCGCTCGCCTGTGCTCTTCCCAGGGTCTGTGAGATACGGCCAGTCCTTGTGCTTCCCATCCTCCAGATGCAGGTCAGGGGATGTCTGCTCTGTGGACAAGGAATGCTGGCTCAGCTTAACACCTTCCCAGTCCCTGGCACTGCTTCAGTAGCTCTCTGCCCCCCAGGATCACTAATGCTCCTGCTGACAGCCAGCACCAGCAGAGCTGCCCTCTGAGCTGGGCACATCTCATATTGCACTGTGAGTTTGGGGAGAGTTCTGTGCTTTCTCCCCATGGCAGCCCTCTCCTCACAGCACAAGTGATGAGCCTGCCTTCAGGACTTCATTCTGTGACATGAAACTTGGCACCCAGGGGATGGAAAACAGGCTGGATACAGACTTTTGTTTGGAGAAAAGTCCCAGCTAAGTGTCCACTTGGGGTGAGGTAAGCCCGTGGTTTAGGGTAGAGAATGCCTGTGTTTTGGGGTGGAGCATGCCCATGGTGTGGACCAGGGCATTCAGCTCCCAGGCTGCTGTCCTAGAACTGGCTTCAAAGCTAAAGGAGAGCCTGGGAAAAGAAAGAGACATCTCCCTTCCTTCCTTTACAGTTCCTGGTTGTAGCCCAGCACTGCTGCAACCCCTGGTATGAGGATCTTTTCCTTTTTCTCTCATCTTGCTTCTGGAAGTTACCTGCTACCACTGTCCCAGCGCCTTCCAGTGGGCCATCCATGCATGACCCTGCCCCTGGCTGGTGTGCACGGAGCTTTGGAATGTCTACAGTCCCTGCTGGGGAAAAGGAGAGAGGTCTGCAGCAGAGGAGGGGTGTCATGGGGCAGGGGAGAGGCCCACAAGGATCCAGTGTACAGGACTGTTTCTCCCATAGCAGTGGACCTGTGGCAAGGCAGAGTGACCACTGTGGCCTGGCAGGGAGCTGCTGCTGCCAGCAGCAGATGAATAAATCCCTCTCACTGGAGCAGTGTCCTGTGGTCACTCCATCCCAGGGTCCTGCACTCTCCCCCCACAGCATGTCTGGCGTGGGCAGGCAGCAGTGCCTGTGCCCTGGAAGGGGATGTCTCTCCTGCCATGTGAATCCCAGTGATCCAGGGCAGCAGAGAATGGGGCTACAGCTTCATTTCTGCTAAATTTCAGAGGAGGTTCTACTGCAGGGAAGTTCTCTCCACCCCACAGCACCCTCCATGCCAGCAGCCTTGGCCCCTGGCTGACAGCACACCAGCAAGGCATATTAAAATATAGTTTATTGCTGTTCTTAGTTTAAAAAAAAACCAACAAACCAAAACCCACTAATAACAAACCCAGTCCCCAAACCCAGCACTGTCCAAGGCAGGCTTGCGAGGACACACGTTTAGTGCAAAGAGGAAAGCGGCAGTGAGGGCTGAGGGGGCTCTGCTTGCCGTGTTCCCACAGAACCCCCTGCACTCACTGTACAGTATCGATTCGCCCTGGGGTGAATTGTTTGGGGTGGGCTGGCCAAATTCACAAGCTCTGGTGGGAAGTCCTGGGGGAGCTGAAGGTGTCAGAGGGGGGAGCATGGGATGTCGTGGCTGTGCAGAGCAGCTTTGACGCCTCATGTCAGCTACAAGGGACAAGAAAGCACAATGCTGACCAAGGGGTCCCACACCTGCCCACACCTCTCCACAGACACAGCAGTTTGCCAAAGCAGCATCTGCTTGCTCTCCTGGGCTCTCCCGTGTCAAAATCAAACATGTGCCCTATCCCATGGCTGCTCCCAGTCTGCTCCAGTGCCTGAAGAGTTAGTGGGGACCAGGGGTTGTAGAGTTAGAGCATGGTTGCATCCCCTGCAGGGTCCTGCAAGGCATGGAGAGGCTCCTTACTCTCAGGAGCCATGAAGGACCTTGCAGCCAGCAGCACATGGCCCGGGGTGCTGGCACCCATGGGAGGGATGCCCTGATCCTCAGCCCTCCATCCCCAGCCCTCTGTGGGTCCCCTCACCCCCTGTTCCCTCCCATGGCAGGCCCTGGCACTGCTGCACTAGCTGTCACCCCCAGCACCCACCTTCCCCCGTGTCCTCAGGGGTGCTGGCACGTCACAGACCTCAGCAGTGAGCACAGTAGGCCACTGCAATGAGCTGCTGGGGCAGAGCCTTTGGGTGTCTTCAGAGGGAGCTGGATGCCTTGGAGGAAAGGAGGGCTGCCCAAACGCCAGCCCCAGGTGCTATACAGGGTGGCACCAGGTGGATTCAAACAGCTCCAGCTCAGGGGAGGCAGTGGGATCCCGGGATGGGCAGGGGGTGGCTGGGACCACACAGGGCTGGCAGAGCAGCCCCGGCTGCACAAGGGGATGGTGAGGCCAGGCTGGCCCAGCCATTTGGGGGTCTCATCTCTTCCATGAAAGCACTGCTGAGGGGGGCTAGTGCTTAGCTTTTCCCAGGACACATAGTCACAGGCCGTGAGACACGTTTTCAGGGAGCAGGGATGCAGCTGCATCCAGACGGGACCAGTGTATAGGCGTGGTCAGCACTGACAGCACCCAGGGACTGCAGCCAGCGGTGCAGGAGGAGGAGGCAGCAGCAGGGGCTGTGAAGCAAGGCACTATTTCTGAAAGGCAGGGGGCAGCAATGCTGTGAACCCCCTCCAGTCCCTCATTCGGCTGGTTTTGGTTGTGTCAGGACCGCGGAGTCGGAGGGCTTGGCCGGGGCAATGCTGCCAGCCCACCCCTCGCTGGGGTTAGGTCATCTTCCTGGCCACGCTGGCGTAGGTGTGCTCGATCTCCTCATCTGCAGGACAGGTGTGAGTGAACTCATCACAGGCGTAGGCGTTGTTGAGGTAGCGCCACACACCCGTCATGTCCTCCGGGATCTCGAAGTCGCGGTACTTTTTGGCTGCAATCTACAGGGGAAGGGAGGAGGAAGAGGAGGCTGAGACTTCTCGGACCTGGGGGAGATTCATTCTCTGGATTTGGCAGCAGGGACTCCCTGTCAACCCCTCTGGGAGCAGGTGCCCCCACCCTGGCCCTGCAGGCTGGTGCCATTACCTTGATGATGTGCAATTTGGGCAGGAGGTTGCAATCAGCCAGCGTCAGGTGGTCTCCGTCCAGGAATTTCCTCTTGGAGACGGTGATGTCCTCCACACTGTCCTGGTCAATCTCCTCTGGGAGAGGAGTGTTCATATAGACATCCAGGCGATGGAACTCCCGCAGCAAAGCCTTCTCAAAATCTGGCAGGGCAGGAAACCGAGAGCAGTGAGCGAGTGTCCTGGGCTCCCAGCTGAGCCTCGGGCTGGGCTGGGCTGGCTGAGCCTGCCCCAGGCTTTGCAGAGAGGGAAAAAGCCCTCAGGACCACACGAGCAAGGCTCAGCATTGACCCTGGCCAGTCTCAGCTTCCAGGGGACCTCAGCATTATCTCCCCACGCTCTGCTGTTATCCCCGTGGAGCACACAGCTGACTTCATCCTTCCCACCCTCCTCCGCTTCCCAAGGAGCCTTTGGTGGGGCAGGCAGCAGGAACCCTAACCTGATGTCAGGATTTGCCTGCAGACAAAAGCAGCGTGGAGGATTACAGCCCAGCAACCCCCACCCGCAATCCTTACTGATATTTGCTTCCTTGCGTGGGTTCTTGATGTATGCTGAGAACTTGGCAAAGATGTCACTGCCCACGTCAAAGGACTCCTTGTACTTGGGGCTCAG